TTGGTGATTTTCTTTTGGGTCTATCCTGTTTGGGGTTTATTGGACTTCTTGAATGGACATATTCTCATCTTTCATCACAGTAAATAAATTCTCTTACAACAAATCTTCTACTATTTTCTCTGTGGTTTTATTTGTCTCTTCCTGTTCTGGAATTTTGATGTCATGTAAGTTATTCTTTTGATGTTATCCCACATGAATCTTAGGCTTTCTTCATTTTGTTTTAATCTTTGTTTCTGATTGATCCCTTTCTAAAGAAGTATTGAAGTATTTGTTTTCAATCCCACTAATTCTGTCTTCCATTGATTTGATTCTACTCCTTGCCCTTTTAATGTGTTATCTATTTGTGAAAATTTAGTATTAATCTTCTGGATTTCTATCTGTAGATTTTGTATTATTTTTAATTTTTTCATTTTGTTCTATTATGTTCTGAAATTGTTCTAGGGTATTGTCTGTGTTTTCCTTGATTTCTCTCTCAATCTGTCAAAGGTACTTAAATATAATTCTTTTTAATTCCTTTTTAGGGAGTTCCAGTGCTGCTGCTTCCTTGGGGATGTGTTCTAGGTCTGTGTCTTGGTCTCTTGTTTCCACTGCTTTATCTTGCTTCTTTATGTGCACTGTGATGGTCTGTTGTCTCTGAGACATTGTGACATTGTTGAATTTATATTTAATTGGAGACCGTGCATTGGGGTGATTCACCCAAGATTTCTTCTTTTCTTTTTTTTTTTTTTTAATATTATTTAAGTAAGCAGGGTACTGTGCTCCTCTATTCACTCACTGGCAGCCCTTATGCACTCCACCTGGTGGGCGTGATAGAGAATGAGAGTGGGTGTACAGATCTCTGTTAACTGTTTGTGAAGAGCAGTTAAGGCTGAGTCAGGGTCATAATGGCTGTCATGTATCATTGGCCAGTTGTTGTAGGAGCAAGTGGTTGCCCTCACTCAGTAGGTGGGGCTACAGGAGGTGTGAGTGTGATTGGTTTGTATGGACACATTTACTGTCTTCCACTCAGACAAAAAGAACAATTAAAACAAATCAACAAAAAGGTAAAAATGAGAACAAAAAAGCACACACTGCATAAACACACAAGAACAATACCCAACAAGAGAAAGAAAAA